GCCAATACAAGAAAGTAGTGGTGTTTTTGCAAACCAAAAAATGTAAGGTTGTGCTTTTGGATGCAATTAGGTCTAGTGATAATTTTATCATAATGTTAGCCAAATGGAAAGATGGTGCACTCTTCTACTCCATAGGTTAAAATTAACTTTAGTAATCAAATGAGTAATAATGAGGTAAAGGTTAAAATTGGGGAACATGAATTAAAGACATCAAAAAGTTTTAAATAATTAGGATCCATACTAGAAGATAATGCCAACATAGATAAGGATGTAACACTTAGAATTTAATTGGGTTGGAACAAGTGGAGGAACGCGTCGTCGATACTTTGTGATCGTAAAGTACCAGTGAGTACAAGTTCTATCAAACGGTCATTAGCCGACAATGCTTCATGGAGATATCTACACTTTCTCTTCTATACTCGTCTTGGAAGTATGGTTTGCGAGCTGCCCGAGAAGAGATTCCTTAAAGGACAGGTGAGTGTTGGCCTACTAAATATGAAAATAATGCTTTATGGATCCGAGTGTTGGGCTACTAAATATGAAAATAATCAAAAAATGCGAGTGGCAGAAATGAGAATGTTTAGATGGATGCGTGGGCATACTATTTTAGATAAGATTAGAAATGAATGTATTAGAAATAAAGTTGGGGTAACGCCCATAGAAGAGAAAATGAGAAAATCACGATTAAGATGGTTTGGGCATGTGCTTAGGAGAGACTTCGAGACACTGGTGAGAAGGGTACAAACATTAGACTTAAGATTATAGGGCTGAGCATGGGACTCGGAGAATTCCGAATCATTCCGAAAACCGAACTGAAATTACTCCGAACCGAAAAATAACCGTTGACCGTTTGACTTTCTCTGAACCAAACCGAACTAAACCCAAAAAATAATTGGTACAGTTTTGAATGTTTCACAAATATCTATACAGAGAACCAAACCGAACTGTCACATACCGTACCGAACCGAATTATTACATCAGATGCATGTGATTAATATATTTTATGTAATCACTGATCCTATATAATTTGGGAATTTTTAAAATGCAGATAAAATATAGCAATACCAATCAAACTTCATTTAAATTTCATGCTTAGTAATCCTTGATTTACAATTGAATTTTCCCTGTTATAAAAAAATTATTTAAAATGGTATGAAAGGTTAAAGAAATTTTTTTTAGAAAAAAACTATATTATATTTTGTTTGAATCTTAAATTTTCAATATTAGTTGTATAAATTTAATCTTTACTAAATTTAAAGTTACTTCTAAAGTTGATTTCAAAATAAAATTTTTAATATGGGGAAGTATTGATGAATGTTTATTTTTTTAAAGAATATCAAAATTAAATAATAAAATTTAGAGTTATTTCTAAAGTTGATTTTAAAATAAAATCTTCAATATGGTGAAGTATTAATGAATGTTGTTTTTCAAAGCATATAAAAATTAAAATATAACTAGGTAGTCATTCAAAAAAAAATTAAAAAAAAAAGTAAAAAACCACCGAAGATCCGAACTGAACCATACCGAACCAAACCGTTCTAATAGTCCCGAATACCGAACTGAAGTAAACCGAAAATTAAAAATCTCCAAACCGAACCAAACCGTCCCGTCCCGATTTTTTGGTACGGTTCCGAATTTAGTGATCTCCAAATTTTGGTATAATTTTGGAGATTTCTCAATCTCTGAACCATACCGACCCATGTTCACCCCTACTTAAGAATGCAAATTAAAAGGAGGAGGAGTAGACCGAATAAAACTTGGAATCAAACAATAAAAATAATTTGAAATATTTAATTTAAATGAGGATACGTGCTTGGATCAAGCACAATGACGACATGTGATCCATATAGCCGACCCCACTTAGTGAGATTTTAACGACTTGTTGATTGATTGATTGATTTGCAGATCTTTTCAAACTGGAACCAGGCAACAAGACTTGGCATTTAAAAATGCCTTCACGAACAAAAGGGCAATCACCATCTCAGGCTGAAAAACAATGTAAACCAATTTACAATGTCATAATTTCAGATAGTGGTTGAAGATACTCACCAACTTTTTTCTTCCGAGCAGATGATGTGATTAGCTCCGTAACTTTCTTGGTTTGAAGATGCACATTTTGAACCAAGCTCTTTTGCTGTCTAGAAACACTTGGGCTGGCAAGATCCCGAGAGTTCCTTCCTGTTGCTCTTTTTCTTGTCTGCATAGCGCATTCAGATTATCCCACCTGGACACATTTCCATTAAAATTGGGCAGAATTCTCCATAGGGTGCAAAATGATACTCCTCCAGTAGGCCACCGATAAGGAGGACAAAAAAAAAATGTCCAGATGTCGTACAGTAAGTATTAGTTAGCTTCATTTTATTGAACTGTCTGGAATTTTGATTTGTGAAAAGAAAATTACATATTAAATGAGTGGGTTCACAAAAATCATTAAAAAGCATATTTTTCTGATGGAGATCAGTAAGTATCATTGTTGAACACAACCACCCACTCATTGAAGTGGCCGGTATGTGTATATAAATCAAATCTAAAACTTTTACACTCAAACCAGCACCAATACCAATAAGGAAACCGTGTTCTATACTGTATACCAGTTGGTGAATCAAAGCAATATAAATTCCGCACCTCACTGGAATCTATGACGCATGGAATAAAATAACCAAAGCAGAAGCTAGTTGTCTTTATTAAGCAATAATACTTAATTGAAAAAGCACCGGACAAGTATTTTCTGCTGCATTTAAAGACAAAAAATTCGAAAGAGGTATTTTTCAAAGATAAAAAAGAATAAAGCTTTGAACCATCTTCCATTCAATTCACCATGCTGCAATTATCCCCACGCTTTAGCTCAACTTAAAACCCTAGAACCCAAACAAGAACTCCACAGCGGAACCAATGGAGGAGTGAATTTAAGCATAAAAAAGAACTCAAGAGCTCAAAATTCATGAAAAATGCTGCCAAGAACAAGTAATTAATTACCAGAAATTAGACGCTTGGAAGATCACATGAATGAGCTGCTCATAGTATTTCAGGACAAAATGATGATTTTTGAGTCAAATTTTTGGAGATCGAAATTAAATTTTGGCCTTTCCCTCCAAAGATTGGAAAATGGAGAAAAGTAGAGGGAAATGAAAAGAGATCAGAGAATTTTTTTTTTTTTATTTTGTCTATCGCCCGAAGAAAAAGGTGAAATGAAATATTATTGTTTTCGGGATGAGATTTTAATCTGTCGCCTTAATTTGCGATTTGTGTCTTTCGAATTAAAGCTGTGTACAATGTGAATACTCGCGCGTGTGAATATCCAGCCCTACTCGCGATATACTCAGCACACGTGTGGTGAATTGCGTTTAAGACTGTGACTAGTGCAATACCCGTGTATTACACGGGTGTTGAATTAGAAAGTTTTTGTAAAAAATATTATTTTTTTATTTTTTAAAAATTAAAATAATTTAATTTTATATAAAACACTACTTTGAGTTTTAATTAAATTGTCAAATTATATTTTTTTAATCATAATAAGTAAACACCTGTACATTAAATAAAAATGTCAACCCGTGTTGAATTTGTTTACTTATATCATATAATAATATCGATATTATTTACTATTACATAAGCAAAAAAATATATATCTTAAGTAAATAGAAATATTATGGTGATATGTATATGCATAAGTGTAGAATATGTTTATTTAATATTATGAAAAATATTAATTGATAAATAATTTTATTTTCTAATTAATTGTAATAAATAATTTTATTATTATTATAAAGATAAATATAATTTATTTATTTTATATATACAATATGTATATGAAAATGTCAACCCGTGTTGAATTTTTTTACTTATATCATAATAATATCGATATTATTTACTATTACATAAGTACAAAAATATATATCTTAAGTAAAGAGAAATATTATGGTGATATGTATATGCATAAGTGTAGAATATGTTTATTTAATATTAAGCAAAATATTAATTGATAAATAATTTTATTTTTTAATTAATTTTAATAGATAATTTTATTATTATTATAAAGATAAATATAATTTATTTATTTTATATATACATTATGGATGTCAAATCGAAACTCATCAAAAGATGATTAATTTGATATATTATATATGTAAAACCGATAAGAAATACAAAAGTTATCAACTTTTAAAATATATTTGCAATTCAATGGTTATAATATGAAATAATATTAAAATACAATTAATACAAATATTAATTTATATTCAAGCCTAACTCCAAAGCATGATTTTTTGCCAAATAAGATTCCAAAGCATGAGAATTTGCCACGTAGGCTCAGTGCATTCTGAAATTATATATAGAGGGGATACCCCGGTCAAATTTATTCACAAAATCCAAAACCCACAAGTTTGGAAAAACGCTTAGCGGAAGCAAAATAATACAAAACAAATTAAGACCACACTCGTCCCATCGTCACGTCGCCAGCAGCTCAACTTGGAAAAAATAATTTATGAGGGTGAGCAAATAACTAGTTCACCGTGAAAATTACTATGCAATATATTCAATATAATAACAGACAATATAATCACAGCATGAACATAAATCATAATCAACATATCTATCTCCATTCATTCCATTGTCTCATAGTCTCATGTGCACATCTTATAAAGTTATACAATCGGATTCGCCATTCATTAGGCACTCATCAACATGAGCCAACATGAATGCCTCTCATTAGGCAAATGGAGATCGCCTTCCATTAGGCATCGCCTCTCATTAGGCCAATGGTTCACACACATACATTAATTATAGAATCTAGCGGTTATAAGGAATAAAAGCATAGTAAATTATGGACACCAACCTCAGTTCGGAAATGACAGACATGCAAAAGCTGTTGTAGGTTCGAGGGCTCGACTCCTCGAAAACCTAACATTTAAGCGAGATAATTCTCATCAATAAATTATCTCATTACTCAAAATATTATTGAATTTTCTCACTTAATAAAAAAATTAATGATTAAAGAGTTTATGAAATATTAGTGAAATGTGAAACTCTCGGTTTAAGGATAAAGGTTGGGAAAATATTTAAAAAGGCTAAAAGTTGGTTTGGTAATTAAAAAGGTTCAACGGCCAGAAAAATGGCTCGACGGCTCGAGAAATGGCTCGGGGTGCACGCGGGCTGGTCACTGGCCCGGGTCTGTCCAGCTGGCTGCGGGCTGTGCACTGCTGGAAAATGTGTCGGGTCACTGGCTGCGCGGCACTGGCGGTTGCTGGGCACTGGTGGTGGCTGGGCACTAGCGGGTGGTTACTGGGTGTTGGCGTGCGGCTGCGTGGTGCGGCACTACTTCTGGACACACTGATGAAGATGTGGTCATCGACCTTTCCGAGCCCAAGGACGAGACGCGCACGACTCATGACAAAAGGCGTGAAAATGGAAGGGAAGGCCGTCGGGACTGTGCGAAGGAGGTTCGTGAAGGCCGCGTGCGAGGAAATCGCGTGACGCATAGACACTCATCATGCGTGAGCCGCATAACGAGACGCACGAGGCAGGGTCGCGCAAAGGAGGGCACGTGTGAGATGGGCAGGCGAGAGGATGACGAGGACATAGCAATGGGATCGGGTGGCTCGCGGAGGACGGCTAGTGTTTGTCCCATTTTTGCTATCTTTTTCTTCATTGGTTTATAGGTTTTTAGTCCCCGGTTTAGGTCTTTTGATAGGGTTTTCGGTCTTGCAGTCGTTTATTCCGTGTCTTTGCTATTATTTTGTTATCTTCGTATATTCGTTGGTTTTTTCTGTTTTCCGGGTATTTTCTTGTTCTTGGAGATTTGCAGGTTCGGATCGTTGACCAAGGTTGGAGATTATCCAGTCGAGCTATCCCGTTTTGCAAAGTGCATGCCCCTGTTCAGATTTTTCACAGTGAATGCCCCTTCAGTATTTTGCAGCTGCCACGCCGCGGCGAGTCTCGCGTCGCGGCACTTCACTCCCTTCCTGGTGCGACACCCTTAACGGGCCTTCAGACGATCCCTTTCAATCGTCACGCTATGACGATGCCCGCGCCACGACTCCTCCCTTCTCCCACGCCGTGAGCCACGCCGCGACACCCTTAACGGATGTACAGAGAAGCTTGCTCCTTCATGCCCCACGCCGCGAGGACCGACGCGCCGCTGCACTTCCCTTCTCTACGCCGTGACCACCATCGCGCGAGGCCATCACGCCTGCCACATCATCGCGCCGCGCCGCGGCGCTGAATCTTTTAAAATTCGAAATTTGTTTGCGTTTAAGTAGGATCGAGCAAGGGTTTTGAGATTCATTCTTCACTTTTCATTTTTCTCTCGTTTTATCGAACGAAAAAACTTGTTCTCTTTATCTTTGCTTATTTTGAGATTTTTTGGAGTGACACCCAAGGAATTTTATCGTGGATTTGGATTGTGCTTGAGATTAACACTCGACTTTTATTTATCGTAAGTTTTCTTCTCATTTTGATTATGAGTTTGGGATTTTCACCTTATACAATGGTTTGTGTTCATCTTGGCATGAGTTGCTAAATCCTTAAGCTAGGGATAGGGGGTGATTACTCGTACTCGTGTTTTGATCTTGCTTGTGAATTTCGTTCAATCTTTTCGAGTTGATTTAAACCTAGGGTTAGATGTTTGATCACCATTCTGATCTAATTAATCACTTGTAGAACTGAAAGGAGAAAAGTCGGTCGATCTAGGCTCGACTAGAGTAAGCTTGTTCGTAATTGTATTGCATACGTGTTAATTGATTGGTTTGATTTGTCGTCTATATTTTTCCTCTTGTTACGAGAAGTTATTGAGGAACAATTTCTAGATGTGTAGGTTGATTGAATCATTTAGCCAGACGATTTTTGCTTGGTATTTGAATTTGATTTGAGTATAATCATCCCCGATTCCCTAGCCTTCGTACGTAGAAGAAACTCGTTTTAAGTATTGATAATTTTTTATTTACGTTGCTTGAGAATTATTAGTTGATAATTGAAAACCCAAACCATTGAATTAGAGTGTTTAGGAATTTATTTTCTTTTTAGTGTGATTGAATATCCGTACAAATAATCCGGCTGACCTTCCTTGAGAGACGACCCGGGGATTGAATCATTTGGTTTAACTCCGTAAAAATAACTACAACAAAATGGCGCCATTGCCAGGGAGGGTTTAGGAATTTTGTGTGCCTATTCATTTTGTTTTCAGTGTTTCTCTTATTTTTGTGATATCTTGTTTTTGTGGTTCTTTTTGTTTCAATTTCTTGTTTAGGCTTAGTGTTTTCTTAGTTTGATTTCCTTTCGTCTCTTTCTTGTCTATCTGGTGCCCGTGACGTTTTTGTTGTTTTTGTTTATGCGTACCAGGAGTGGTCGTGTAATCATCCCGAACAACGAATCCATCCAGAGGGATCTACAGGACTTGTTGGCCAACTTTGCTCCTGAATCTTCAGACTCAGCCAACCGAGACTCAGATAGCCAAGGAGACATGGCAAACAACGGTGATGAGGAAGTAAACAACCCACCTCGTCATCTTCTTCGTGATTTAGCTTAACCGGTGATCGGGCCGGTAACTTCATGCATCCGGCTGGGGACAGCAGCTCGGAACTACAAGCTAAAAACAATCCACTACAACCAGCTGCCATCTTTCTACGGTTTACCCAACGAGGACCCACTTCATTTCATCCGGGAGTTCTATAATGTCCTCCAGATCTTTCCTCTTCATAACCTGAACGAGGACCAACTTAAAATGAGGTGTTTCCCCGAAACACTCAAGGACCGGGCTAAAGCTTGGTTTATGACACTTGCTCCCGACTCCCTCACCACCTGGGAGCAAGTGTACACCAAGTTTATTGGGAAATGCTACTCTCACCAGAAGACGCAGGAGTTCCGGTCTCAAATCATTTCCTTTGCCCAACAACCAAACGAGCCACTTCATGAGGCGTGGGAGCGCTTCAAGGACCTCCAGAGGCAGTGCCCACACCATAACTTCCCACCTGCCTTGTTAATGAACAACTTCTATGACTCTCTCCACCAGAATCTCCAGTACATGGTGGACAATGCGGCCGGTGGAGATGTTTTGGCAAAGACGGCCGAAGAGATGTGTAGCGCCCCATTTGTTCCGGAATAATTGGATATTATTATTTGGCATTTATTTTATAATGCCCCATTTGAATATTAGATTTTTCTGATTTTCCTTGATTATGTGATTATATATATTATATTATTATATGGATAATATAATTATATTCTCGGTT